AGGAGGTGTAGATACCAGTGCCTACACCTTTTTCATGGCTCAGCACCCTGAATTAAAGAACGGCATCACCACAGCATGGCAGGCCTTCCTCACTGAGCTCTCAAAGGAGCTTGTCACACCACATATGAGAAGTCAACTGGAAAGTTGCCCCCAACTGCAAACCCCGATCACTGAAGCAATGGGAAGGTGTGGGTGACAAAAGCCACAACTGAGCCACAGAAAAAAAGCAGACCCACTTATGGAAGAGTGTAGGGTCCAGTCTCTCATGCATCTAAGGATTAATGCAAGGGTTAATGTGACAGTTTACTTTTAGCAATCTTCTATGTTTGAGTAAGTATTTTTAGCGTGTTATATTTGACTGGTTATGTGTTAATTAACTTCTTATTGTTTGTAAATCACTGACCCTAATCCCTGCACCACAAAATATGCCATTATATGGTAAATACAAACACGTTGGGGCATATTTTTCAGTTTGTTGTACAATACTGCAGTCACCACAGCTATAATGTGAAAACTGACAAAAAAAAACACTACAGCAAACAAATCTGGCAAAGTTAATTTTTTTCATGTTGACTTTCAGTAAATCAGTGAAGTGCAAGGCTCTGGCACTTTACCTGGAACACCAGACAGTTTTGAGCTTTAGTCAAAATGCCAATCTTCTCAAGCTCCTCCACATACTTGGCAAAAGTGACACGTAGGCCATTAATGTGATACTCAGAGGAGTCCCCTGAAAAATACAACAGATATCAAATGAAAATGATTGGATTAAAAACTGTATCCTGAGGTAAAACATGAATCAGCCTTGGGTGCCAAAAACCTGATTACTTCTAAAAATCAAACAAAACACTTAACCTCCATAAATCACACAAGGAAAATTATCAACAGCCACAAATACAATTTTTTTGTATTTTTAGGAAAAAATCGAATCATTCCTGTCTTAATGGTTCTTTAAGTTACATGTGAGAATAAAGTATAAATAATAATAAAATCATATCCAAATTATTGCTCATTATACCAAATTATGAAAAATGTAACCACTGTGAATCACAACTAAAGGAACACTTGGGATAATAAGTATTAGGTAAGATCACTAATCATGCTATGCTGGTGTATAATAGTTATAACTGTGTACTTTGTGTATGCTTATTATCTGATCATTGCCAGTACATAATAATAAAGGTGGTTGCTGCTTTATTAGCATTTTCCATATAAATCTGGCTTCTTTATGAGTCAGCACCCAGCTGTCAGTTTATATTATCTTTTTTTCTTAGATGATTCTCTTATCCTAGATAAATATTGAATGTTATTAATGTGGTAAACTCATATTAAAGGACCATCATTATATATGAAAACATGCATAAACAAATATACACATTATTCGCTATAATTTTAATTTACGTTTTACAGTTGTTATTTTTGGCCTTGCATATGCTACCCCCAGTAAGAAAAAACTTGGCAGAGTCTACTGACCTGTAATGATCCTACAAAAGACCGTCTCTTCCTCTTTATCACTGCAGTACCTCATGGCCACCCTGGCAGTGTTGGAGATGGGCTTACCAACGTGAGCTCCATGGATCAGGTCTTTCAAGTGCTTGACTCGGAGAGAAGAAACCCGCTCACCCATGACAAAGCTTAGGGCATCCATCACATTAGATTTACCTAGTATGATTTAAAATCATTGACAAAGTTTTCAATATGAATTTATTTTAAATAACCCAGCTCTGGTAGGACGACCATACAGCTAGCCTGACTTTTTAGGCAAAGTCTGCTAACATAACAGGCGGGATTTAGAGGTTGTTTAACTATTTTCTGTATTCCTTACATGAAAAATATAATTTCTAAGTAGATGATGTAGTTCTTAGAACTACATCATCTACTTAGAAATTGTATCTTTACTTAGCAAACCAAAAAGAAAGAAAGATATACTCCGCAGGCTAGCCGCTAGCTTAACAATTATTTACCATTAGCTAGCTAGCTAGAACACGTCACCAATAAAAACTTTACTTACCTGAGCCATTTGTGCCAATTATGCAATTAAATCGCAAGAATGGCCCAATAATTAGTTTTCCTCTCCATGACTTAAAGTTTTCAATATCTAGTTGTTTTAAATAACCCATCTTTGTAAGTGAACCCTGAAGCTAATCTTAGTGTCTGAGGCCAGGCCCTCTAATGTGGCAGACAGGACGTGGAGAGGCGGGAAACTACTGTCTGCTTTCCTCACGTTAAAAATATAATTTCTAGTTTCTAGTTTTAAACTGAGTCAGCCGCTGATCTGTTGTTGTTTGTTTGTTTTTGTTTTTTTCATTTTGTTTCACATGTACTTATATATGCTTTATTATTACAAAGGGCTACTAAAAGTATGAAAAAAATAAGAGGCAGGTGTGGGGGGAAATTCAAAAGATTTTCTACATCAAAATGCAAAATTTGTGAGGGAAAACTATCAAATGTATAAGGAAAAAATGGCAAATCTTCAAGATGAAAGTGGCAAATTTATAAGAAAAAAGTAGGAAATTTGAAGTAAGGAAAGTTACAAATTTTAGAGTAAAAAATGGCAAGATTTACTAGAAATTTTATAAGACATTTCTAAGAAAATCCTCTCTGGAAAACCACCCAAGCACTTAACACTATAATCCCTATACCATAAGGCTTCAGTTTATCATTTATTGTGGTCCATGTGCCAAACAGCTAAAGATAAATTTTATAATCTGTCAGTTGTTTCTCGCTGTACCAAAAATCCCATTTCAATAGCACGAAGGTGTAACCAGCGAGCATCTGTTCATACTATAGTAGTTTTTGATACACAAAAGCTATCACCTCATTTTAATTAGTGGGTTATTTTCTTATGAATAGACTGTATGTTTATAACAGTGTGATGATTTTTAGCTAAAATCACAAGTATTTTTTTGTTGCTAAACCCAGTTGAAAAGCATAATCTAGTTAAGTCATCTAATGTTGGTATAGTGTAGAGCAAACCCAGTGTGCAAAGAGATTAGGTTTTCCTGACCACGAAAATGCTATTTTTGGAATTATTCCTGACAAATTTACAATTTTTATTATAAATTTGTCACTTTTTTCTCTGAAATCTATACCCTCACGCACTGTCCCTTGTTTTTAAGGCCTACCTTCAGTGGCCTTAATTTAACCACCACTTAATCTCCATGAACGTGTATTATGAAGAAACCAATTCACTTGCTCAGTAGTTGGCTAGTGAGTGATATAAAACTTTGTGTGAAAAGTTTGGCCTCAGCTTGGTATAGAGGCCATTTGTTCCATAAAGATATCGTAAATATATGCATGCTATAAAGCTGCTGAAACAACAGCTAGGTGTAGTGTCTAAATCATATTTAACTTCATTTAGTTTTTCTCAGTTTAGGTTTATGTTCAGTTCTGCCCTCACCTTGGTTTATTGTTCACTGTAAATAAAACCTCACTCGCATCTCCACCGCCGTCTGCATCTTGGGTCCTCATTCATTCCACCACACGACTGCTGCCCCTGTGAACGGTACTCATGGCCATTGATCAGTGGGCTTTGATCAGTGGCTTTGATCAGTGGCTTTGGGTCAGTGGTTGTTGATCAGATAAGATCCCAAAATCTCATTTTACCAAAATCCTGCTTCTGCTACATTAGCTTTATTTACCTGCAGTGGAAACACCAGTTTTGGTCAAAGCCATGGTATTGATAGGATCTTGAAACACTGTGTGCACAACTTTCATGTTACTTCCAGGTAAGTGAGACATCCTCCTTATTTCTTAGCAACAGCAAAACCCTGAGATACTAAAAAACCCTTCATGCTGGTGATGCTATCGTCAACCAAATCCTGTGTTCATTTATTTAGATAGTTCTCTATTTGTGGTCAGTTTGTGTATGTTTACTGTATGTGTGTGTTCACTTATACAGTAGTTTATTTATAATGCATTCACGTATTTTCCCGTTGGGCACGACTGCAGTTTTTAACAATAAAAGTTTCAATACCGATATGATGCCCAGAGATGTATGAGCATAGACTCTGCTACAGCAGTCAGTTGGTGTCTGCTCTATGCATGACATATTTGACTGATCTGGATAGAGTCCTTGCTAACTTCAAGCTGGTGTTCCACAAAATCAAATTGCAGCATTATTTGAAATGAGATCTAGTCTAGACTGTTCTGACTGTGTGTGGTTCTTCCACATGCTACCTGATTGTTAAATGAATAAATCGCTAAATTGTAAAAATATCCTCAAAATTCAATCAGTCAGTTCAATAATTGCCAACAAACAAGAGTCAAAAGGAGGATAATCTGTCTGGTTTATTCTGCAGGAGATGATGTTAAAAGTCTGATCTATAGCTCCAGCTGATGACAGGACCTGAAGGATCTGCTGCTAATGTTTTAGTGCCAGATACCTTTAGTCCATTGTAAGGAACCTATATAGGCTTGTATCTCATTTTATATGGGTTCTTTAAATAAATATACTGAACTTAATGAAATATTCATTAAATGTAACTTATATTTCGAGTCATGAACAAAGAGCATTCTTTGAATATATGTCCAACAGTCTATACTGAACAGTGGTTCCTCTAAAGGCTTTTCAAGGATTCTTGATGGATATTCTGATTTCTGATTGTTTTAAGCCATCTTTTCCACAACTACCCTCAGATTTGCTATGGAAGCCTGTTCAAAAAAGGGCTTACGATGATCTGAGTTACTAAATCGTTTAGTTAAATAGGAGCAAACCACAGTAGTGGCATAATATCTGAAATGAAATAGCTCAAATTTTATTCTGTGAAACTGAAATGGATTAAAAAAAATACTATCTTAGCATTTTGTGTAAAAAATGTCAATGTTAAAGACTGAGTGAATGCTTAATTTCTCTACTTTTGCTAAACCCAGCCAGTAAATGAAAGTAAGGTCAGATATAAATAACTGATCATAACTGCCTCATTTCCCCTCACACAATTAATCTTTGCACTCCCAAATTATTCTTGTGTAAAACTATTTCACTCAAAAGAAGGGCTACAAGGTCTGCTGAAAGACAGATAAAACGGGTATGTTGGGTTTTTATTGGTCTCACAATGATAAAGTCGAGGAAGCTTTAAATTCAAAGCTGAGTCAGCCAATTTTTAAGTTTCTCCTCTATCTGTGGTTATACAGTCCTCAATAAGGATGGTCACGGACATACTCCATGATATGCTTCAAGGCCAGCCATGTCTCTGAGGCAGTGGGGATGATCTGATCAGCTGGCAGGATAAAACCGTAGCGGCCAGTGTCCCTCAGCTCGAAGGCAAAGGAGTATTTGATTCCCGAATTGTAGGACCAGTCAATGCTACCCCCGCTGGCTTGATCTGAGCACGAAAAAATATAAAAGATGTATCACTAGCAAGAATACAAGAACTCTTATTAATACTGCTAGTCATAACAATAGCTATATCACTTTTAGTTTTGATTTGGGTTGTTTATTAAGCTATAAAACATAACGTGAAATGGAAATTAAAAAAACATAGGCACAATAAATAAATAAATAATAAAAATAACTGTGCTTGCACTCGAGCGAGTATTTATTTTCCTAAACCAATTATTCTGCATGATTGCAGCTCGTCGTTTCATTTATCCATCTGTAACTTTAGTATTGAAGTCACTGTGTACTGGTCTGGTTAAATGAGAGAAAAGATTTACTTACAGATGATATTGCAGATGCTTCCAACCTGGTAGGCGGTGCCATAGAGAGACGTCAGTTTCTGCGCTGCTGCTCTGCCAACAGAATGCTGCAGAGAAGCAAAGCGAACAACACTGTAGCAAAGAAGCCGTATCAACTCCTCTCCCTTTATTGGCATTGCCCTTAAAGCCAACTTTTCTCACTTGGTTGCTGCTTGCAAACAGAAGGACTGAAGAGCTGCTTACAGCCAGAGCTGTGTACCTAACACCATGGTGAACTAAACATGGAGGTAAAAACATCTCACTTGCCCATCAGCTAATTTTATTTTTTTGAGACTTTAGGAACTTTGACCATGCTCCATTGTAACAGTTTTTGAAACGATCAGAGAAACAGATGATGGGAACTGAATCCTTGCAGGCTATTTGGAGGGAGAAAATCACCCAATGTCCAATTACAAGAACACAGGCCACAAATCACTGCTGATGTAGGGGTGGCTGTGGCTCAAAAGGTAAAGCAAGCTATCTACTATTTGGAAGGTTTTTGGTTTGATCCCCGACTACTCCACCCTGCATGCCGAATGTGGGCCGTGGGTAAGATACTAACCCAAGTTGCTCTCTGATGCTTCCATTGGAGTGTCAAAGTTTGTAAAGAAAATACTTGATTGATCAGGTAGAGTAGAAACGTGTTGTGTAAGAAACAGTCCATTTACAGAGAATACACATGATAGTGTAAAATCAGGGGACTTTATCATCAGTTGAAAGTGACTCTCAGGAGTTTTACAGTTCATGGCAGCTTGATTAATATAGCCCAAAACCACAAATTTGTGTCACGGGGGTTTAGTCATGTATGAATAACTGCAGGATTATGGGTCCATTAGGCATTTTTCTCAGACTTCATTTGCAGTGCTGTATGAATATGAAGCAGAGTACTGCTGAACAAGAGCGTACCTGGCTGAGTTAAGGCAGACAATTTGTCATGTTTAGTAGTGATGAGTTTATAATTCACCTACCCCAAAGCTAATTATTCACAATCACAGCTATAAAACTTTAATTAGGTGTAAAATTGCAATCCCCAGCTGAATGATATCAACAGTCAAAAAGCAGCCTACAGGAAGACCTCAGATCAGGTTATCAGACCAGAATCCTTTGTCTTTTTGACAATACGCATAACTCACAGATGACACTTACTTACCTCTCGCACGTATAAGATTACTCTTGAAAACATTGTTTAAGCAATGGCAAACATTTCGAGCTTGCTCTGTTTTCTGCTTTCTTACCAGCTCGGCCTGATGGTTTGCGCTGCTACAGACATAGCCGTAAGGGTACATGAGCAGCTGGGAGTAGGAGTGGACAGAAATGAAGGCCTTGAAGTTGCCGTGGCTCTGGATCAGGTTCACCACGTTCTTCACCTCGATCTCAGAGTTAGCCGAGGGGCCGTGGTAGGAATCGGAGCAGGGGTAGCTACTGGCACCGGGGCCTGGACATATCGCAGAGAGATCATCACAGAGCAAACGCTCACAAATGACAGACATATGTCAGAAGTTTTTTGTAACATCTCATTAGAATGTAAGAGGGCTTAAGGAATTTCACTGACGTGTTACAAGCAAACATTTTGCACTGAGTCATTGGGTATTCCAGAGGAATCCGGTTCATTCAACTACAATTCTAAAGTCTAAAGTGACTACAAGTCTAAATCCTTAACACACGTACCAGCGGTTAACAGTAGTAGTAGTAAATGATGCTATTCAGATTCGTTTTGATAACAAGTAAAAAGAATGTGATTATTTACCCGGCAGGTAATTGACAAAATCATGAGATGCATTCAGTTTTTATAATACTGACCACCAAAGCCTGCGTCCCAGTTCCTGTTTGGATCGACTCCACGGCACGCATAGCCAGGGTTCACAGAGCGGGTCTTGCGCCACATCCGATCCTGTGTTTCACAAAACGTCATTCGGTGTGAATCATCATTTCTTTTTCTCTCTCAGATGATACTGTATTGATGGAAAACAAACACAGTTCTACTTGTTTCTGCATGACTAACATCTTGCTCTTCTTTCGAGTATCTACTCTATATATGCGACACATAAATAACATTATCTGAGGAGTGCCAGTGACGTACATTGGTGTGGGAGAAAACATAGCCATCAGGGTTGGCAACGATCAGCATGTAAAGATCCATGGTGTTCAGGAGGGAAGTGAGGGAGGCGTCGGTACCGTAATCCGTGGCAATCTAAGCAAGGATGAAAGGTTTTGTAGAAACGTAGAAAAAAAGACACGCTTTCACATATTACAAATTTAAGATGAAGCTTTATAAATAAGGTAAACAAGGTCTGCGAGAACAGAGAAGAAGGAACTGATTAAAATAAGAAAATGATAGGAAGGAAAGTGAGGCCCAGTGCACTCAGACAATAACTCGTGCTTTTTTAACATAAACATCCAGTAATATGTTTAAAAGGAAAAAACTTAATAAGTACAGAAAATTAATTTGGTTCAAAAGCACAAAGTTCTTGCAAAAAATAAGTCAATTATGATCATTTAAATTCAGTTTACTCAGTTTAATTGACATCTTGTACCTTGTTGGCGGTCCACACTCCAGTAGCCTGAGTAACCCATTCTCTGGCGTGGATACCAGTGTCAACCCAGATAGCAGGACGATTGTAACCACCGGTGCTGAACTAAACACGAACACAGATTCAGACATGCTTTTACATTTTGCTTCTAAAGGTGCAGTCAATCACGATTAACACATGTAGATGTATGCACAAAATAAAGCGCATCCTCTCTTTACCCCACTGTGTGAGTGACTTGATATTTGATACCTGATTAATTTTATTAGATAGTTAATATTAGCTATATTTGTCCACATTTTTATAGAGCTCAAAAGTGCAGTGCTGCTGCATTCTGTGAGGCATAACCAGAGTATCTTACCTTGAGCACATACATGGGCCTGTTCTCATAGGACACCCCAATATGCTGCTTGGTGATCAGGTTAGGGTAATCGGCCACCAGCGTGTCCATCCAGCTGTAAATCTGCATAGATTCAGTTCTGACATTAAAACACACATAGGTACACACAAAGTTGACTGGATCCAGTCATGTTTTTTTTTCTCTAGAGCAGCATACTGTATTGAGATCATGATAGGCTCCAAAGTTTAAGCTCCTGGTGCTGCGTTCCTTCATCTGGTTCGCCTCCATCTCAGCTTTCTCTTTGTCAAGAAGTTCCTGCAGGTGACAGGCAGGAGATTAAAAATTCACTCTCTGTGCCACCGAGTCTCCCAGTGGAAATCAGCTCTATGTTAATACACAACTGTGTTTTGAGGATGACAGACCTGGACGTTTTCAATCATGACGGTGAAGGGAATGTTGTGGAAAGTAAGGTGCTCCTTCACAGGGATCAGACTGAAGCGGGGCACTCGGATGTCCACAGGGAGCTCAGTGGAGACTGGGTCAAGCCAGAAGTCCACCTGTAAACAGATGCGCAATGAGATATCACACATGGGAATGAAGGAACATGCTGCGGGGAAGTCCTGTACATGTTGCATCTAGCATATTCCATAATAAACTAAATAATTTAGAAGAATTCAACTTAAGATGTTTCTCCAGACAGAGTGTGCTGCTGTAAGATCTATCATCTGTAGTTGCTTCAATCTTAAAGGAACAACAAAAGATCTTATTTAATAACTAAATAATGGCAAGGTTAATGTCTGGGAATTTAATGCAGTAAAAGGTGAAGTCCAAAATGACTGCAGGGCCAGAGACGAGCACCTAACTTTCTGTGTTAACCTTCGACCCAGCTGAACTTGATTTGCCTTTTGCGCTGCTAGAAAATTGATGAGAAATCACTTGGCACAAGCTGCCGAGAAAACACGAACATCAATTTCTGTGCTGTTTACCAAAGCTGTGCGTGTGTGTTTGCGTGTGCATACCTCCCACTCCTGCGCCGTCTCCAACGCCTGCAGGAGATGGATCTGTTCCTCTGACTTCACATTGACCCGGATAACCTGATCTCTGCACATCATTATGTGAAGTTTGTAGTTAAAACTTTTAAATGTTGAAATGTGAGCTCAGCAAAAGAGAAGAACTTTATTTATTGGATACTGATATAACAAGCAATTACTGGTGCAGCACAGGTACAGACCGTCACTATATTCCTTAATGAGACTGTAGCAGAGACTTAGGCTTTCTCTTAGCATAAGCTGTGGATTGTGCTACCATTTGAATAACAGTTACAGATACAAGAACAGTGCAAGACTGCATAGCTGAAAATCTCCTCCACATAATCTACCAATTAATACCCTGGATTTAGAGGGATGTCTGGTTTTAAAAAGGTTTGCAGTTTGTTTTTTGAGAGGATAAAAGACACGACACAAAAGTTTAATGTAAATAGGTATTGGTTTCTTTGTTAGCAATTCTGCTATAACCTGCAGAGTTAATGAACAGAAAAATACCTGACATTTGCAGCCAAGTGGAGGATTCCTCTCTTGTACTGGTTCTTTTATTTAGAAGAAGGTACAGTTCAAAAAATGCTTTCACCTTAACCACAAATAATGGTTATTCAGATTATTGTTGTTGAACTGTGCACTGTTGTTATTGCTGTGCAAAAGGTTAATAAGAAGTTCCTGCCAAAGCAAAAGGGGACCGAACCCTAAAATGTTATTCTGCGATTCCATTTTAGTCACTTTAAACTCATAGTAGGAGTACTAAAGAATGACCACATGAATTATTAATAAGTAAATCATGTTAGTGTGCACTTTAAACTTACCCAGTGAAGCCCTTTTCAGCTTTGGCCGCAGCCACAAGCACCAGCAGCAACCAGAAGCCTTTCATCTCACCTGTATAGTTCTGGTCTGTTCAGAGGAAGCAAGTGAAGCACCTGCTCCTCTGCTCTCCTAATATCCTGTGGATGCAGGTGGGCTGTTCTCATGCGTGTGAGTTAGGTCACTCTACTGATAATGACACAGCTCTACTGGAAAAACAGCTATTTTGAGCAAAGAACATGCAGAGTAAGCACTGATCAATCTTTTCAGTTCTCAGGAGCAGATAGTGGAAATTTCCACAGATACAGTATGTTAGTGGCTTTGGTGATTTAGTCTGTTCTCATTATACACTCTAGTCATCATATGCAGAGTGTCACTTGGAAAGCAGCCCACAGATTAAGGCACATTAACTGTCATTATCTGAATATCACTGTTCTGGATCATAGAGGTTAGTCATGAATAATAAGCCTTTATACACACAGACTGACTGAATGAAAAACGGTTCAGATTGTGTGACAGACGATGTCTTTCTGTTTTTTTGGCCTAAAACAACGTATGCATGTTGCTAATTGCTGTTAGCAGGTTAGATGTGAAAGTTTCAGTCAAAAAGTAATCCTTCATTGTTACACTGCACTTTTATTTCTTCTAGTTTTTGAAAGGTAAATACACAAAAAACAGATCCAAACTAATTATAGTGATTTGTCATATTTCCCAGTTTATTGTAATGGAAATTTCTTTATTTTATGTATTGATCACTTTAGTAATAGTAATATTACTTTGTCACTTAGTTATATATACATATAGAATAGCATCACAACTGAAGTTATGCTTATCACACTTCCACAGCGAGGCCATTGTGAGTAGGCCAGAGACATCCAGGCGCCATGTGTGAAGAGGGGCTGGATTGACAGCGTGCGGCCCTCCTGCTCTTCTCTGGAAGCAGGGAGGCAACAGCTAAGTTGCCTTCAAGTCGTAATTCTCTTTTGGAAGGGAAGGTTTCACGGACGTAAAGATGTAAACACCTGATCCTTGTTTACTTTTGTCCCAAAGGCAGGGCCCTAGGAGCTCAACACAGCCAAGCTTTCTTTGGCTTAACTGGCTTAAAAAAAACCCTGAAACTCCAGTTATCACAATCTTTATCAAATTTTCTGTTTCCTTTCTTCTTTAGGTTCTTTGTGGGCTCACAAGAAAATGGGCGTCTCATGACTCTTCTTCCACAAGAAGTGATCCCTGTGAGTGCCCACATGATCAGAAGATGGGAAAATAGTGATAGAAAAATGTAAATGATAAAGAATATAACAGTAAAATCAAACACTGTTGCAAATAAGACAAGATACTTTTTTTCACCAGAAAACCAAAACGAGTCATACCTTTAAAACCGGTCAGAACGGCACGCTCCGTTTTGTGTAACTATTTTTAAATCCCTCTAGAACCGCAACCACATAAACTAGCGCAATAATTTTGTTTTGCATATGAAACCGGAGGAGTTGTACTTACATATTATGCCATCAGCTTGTCCTAAGTCAAGGTTTCCTTCCACATATAGCTTTGCAAAAATTGCATAAAAAGCATTTGCAACAACAAAAACATAATATTCCAGAAACACGTTCAGCTGTTCATTACTCTTCCTACGTTGGAATAGATGTCAGCACGAACTATGCAGGGTTTTTTTGTTTTTTTTTTACCTTCAGGGCCTTATGATCCTGTACTGGTGTTTGGCTTTATGCTTTTCTATATCGTTTCTGGGATGCTTAGACAGACAGGCTTTTTTTAATAAATACTTGCATATGCACAAACTAACCAGCAGATGGCAGTGCATTACTAGAATAAAACAACAAGGGAAACTACCATTTATAGCTAGGGTGAGTGATGTCAGGATGGAATTACCTTCAGTCTTAAATTATTCATCTCCAGCTGAGGAACTTTTTGTTTTTGTTGTTTTCACCAGTCCTCGTTTGACTTATAGCATAGTTTATAATGTGCATTAAATGAAAGGGCAGAGTTGTAATACAGCATAAAAAAACGGCAACAAAACTATTATCCACCTTTTAAATGTGAATACTTTGCAAATATAGTTGTATTACATTTTGTTTGATATTTAAAAAATCATTGTAGTAATTGGTAGATTGGTAGATAAACAAATTATGAAAAAATACATTAGTTGCAGACTTGAAACATCCACATCATTAAATGTAACCAGCTGATCTTACTGAAATGTATCAAATTAAACATCTCCAAAGTACTCATGGTAGACCTGAAATATAGGTCAGCTAATTAATTTTCAAACATAGTTTACGTGCCATCCACTGACCTATTTCAATGGCCACCGTACTCTGGTAATATTTAATAACCAACTCCTCTTTTAAGAAATCAGGCTGCGATATTGTTCCTGAGCATCTCTCCCAGCATTTCTCGAGTGGGATAAACACAATCATATTTTATTACTGTTCGCAGAGGATTTGGGGTTTGGCATTAACTTATTCATGCTGATATCCGCAGCATTGATATCAGGCTGTGCATCACTCAGCCTCCCTACTTACATCAGCTGCTGTGACATCCCGCCAAACCCTCCCTGACTCTCAGAATTAATAAAAAGAGGTTTTAACATGTCACTTCCCTTCCATTTCACTCCCAAACAATCCCACGAGACAACGTGAGAGGAGGGGGTTTAATAGGTGTGGGAAGTGAGCTGGGACTTTCCATCTTTCTTGCCATGGAAATTATTTATTGCTATTCCTGCCGTGTGTGTCTAAAACTTTAAGGGGCTCTACATGCAAATGTGGGTGTAGTTTGCTTCCCCATCTCTTTGTCCGCTGTCATTTGCTGCTAAAAGATATATGAACAAGGCAACTCCCAGCCAGCTTGCTCTACATGAGCTCCTTTGCTGGGCTATAAATAGATCCATTGACATTGCATCCCATGGGTAAGCAGCCTCTCAGCATTTCTGAGGTTCACCAGTAAATTGATCATTATTTATTTACTGTATTGCTCATTTGTACATCTCATTTATGAGCAGATGTCACAGAACATTTTCAAATGGTAATGAGTCTTTTTGATGTCTATTGTCGATGTTTACCATTTACAAAAAATACAGCATGAGAAACAATATCACAATACTAAGAAATTTATAATCAGACTAATCTAAAAAAAAATTATTTTTAGATAGTCTTGAAAACTAGGGTGCACAAAGACTACATACACTCACCAGTTGCATCATTAGGTAACCCTGTTCAACTACTTGTTAGCATAAATCTCTAAACAGCCGATCAAATGGCAGAAACTCAATGTATGCTGGCATGTAGATACAGTCAAGATGACAGGCTAACGTTGAAACCGAGCGTCAGAATGAAAAAGAAAGGTGATTTAAGTAACATGCTTTTTAACCAGACGGGCTCGTCTGAGTATTTAAGAAACTGCTGATCTGGTGTGATCTGATTTCCCACACAACCATCTCTATGGTTTACAGAGAATGGTCAGAAAAAGAAAAAATATACAAGTTTGTTAAAAATTCCTTTTTCATATCAGAGGTCACAGGACAAGAGCCAGATGGCTTCAAGTTGATATGAATAGAAATTCAAGTAATCACTTGTTACAACCAAGTTATGGTCGGTCAACCAAGATGATTGTGAAAGGAGTCCGATACAAAGAGTCAGTGAAACTCACTTCAGACGCTTTGTAATTTCAGTTCAGGAGATGGGGCTCGAGGTGAGGAGGAAGAGGATGACGTGTTATGCCATTTTGGCTTCTTTGATTAAGGGGAGCCTTTTCAGATGATAAAGCCGAGATAAATCAAGATGTGATCCATCATATCTTCCCTCTGAAGGTGCAGACACAAATTAAAACTTGCCTAGAAGTTCTCTCCTCCTCCACCTTCGGCGTACTCCATGTGTGGTCGGTTTCTAGCCACATCTCAGCTGCTGTAGTCAAGACAACAGGACAACGTGGTGGCTTACGTAGACCAGCAAGTGCGTCTATGCATTATTATTGTTATTATTAGATAATTCTAAGCTTATGAGAATGCAGCTGTTAATTGGAAGATGTAATTACACACTCAATCCATAATTATGAGTACAGTATTCTGTTTTCTATTAAATAACCTGAAAGTAAAACTGACCGTACCTTTAAATCTTGTGTTTGCAGTGCCAGTGTCGGTCTGTGTTTTCTAATCTCGGTCAGTTTTTGTAGTTCTTCTGAGTGCTCTTTGTTGTCACGTCCTCTTTTACATTAGCACATAGTTTTACCTTTTGTGTCTCAGTAAATTGGACTTCTTGTTTTCTCAGTGTCTACAATATTTACACCTGTTCCCAACTATTGCAATGTATTTAGCCTTGTGTTTGCCACTCTATTCAACCTGTAGTGTATCCTGTTGCCTTTCCTGAGTTTCTCCTCATATCTCTCTCCTCTTTGCTTTTGCATTGTCATTCTGGTTATTATTGTCTTTCAGTTCTAGTAGATTTTTTGGACTTTTATTGGTGGATCTCTTTTCACCTTCATTAGATCATTAAAGACACCTGTATTCTTTCTACTTTCCTCATCTTACCCTGAAGCAAAATTAGTTGGCAGTTGGCAGTGAAAAAGGTTAATAGCACAAGCAATATTAAGTGGCACTTTAAAGTCCCATCTACTTCTCTATTTACTTTGACACTGAGGCAGAGCCAGTCAACATTTATTAAGCTGGAACCATTATTTATATTTATCTGGCACAGAAACTGATATCTATTTTTTTTCTTTTTGTTTATTTTGTTCTTTCTCTGAATAGCAAACTGTTGTAGGGAAGTCATGTTTTGTGTATGAGTGTGTATGTGGGAACAACAACGCTAGAGAAATGGATCCAAAAAGTTCTGGAAACATAATAACGGATGTAACTCCAGTTCAAATTAGCTTCACAGTGGTCTGTCCCCTGCTCGCAAAGATAATCACACAAAAAAAGGAAAAAAAAATCGATCATTTTCCCATCAAAAGTTCTTGTCCTAGATCTACACATTATTTTTCTGTTCGAGAATTAATGAAGGATGCATTAAGGTGCACTCAATCATCAAGGTGCTGCTGATTTGAAAACATCTATTAATGTACTAAATATAATCAAACCTCCAAAACAGAGACGCAGCTTCTTTGTTGACAGGAATTTCCATTCACACCGACTTAGTTTTT